TGTACAGTTGGTGGGACTTGGAGCAGGGGAGTTTCTCAGACACAGGTGAGCTGGCCCAGCTCTTGACCCCATGGCAGGGAATAAGCAGAAAAGGGTGGCCCAGTTAGAGGCAAACAGAAAGGAAGCACACTTGTTTTCAGAAGGCTCCGCCTGAAGGAATGGGGTCCAGGCATGCTCATAAGGAGAGTTTCTGGAGATAATTATGAGATTGGGTTCAACAAAAACCCACCATACACAGATATTCACTCTAGTTGTTTTTGCTTTTTGGTCAATAAAAAATGCTTTGCAAGGAAAATGGTCTGTGGTTTTTGAATACACAAAGGAGCAACCTTAGCTGCCAACAGCTGTGAAGATGAAGTTGAAGATGATGATGACGATAATGCTGACAGCCAAAGTAAAAGAATGAAAGAAACGAAGATTTCTCCAAGCAAAAATGGCACAAACAGATGCATGAAACAGAAGGGCCAATGAGGAACTGAGATGAGTGAGAACTGTATGAGGGGGAGTATTTTTGGTTTTGAAACAACTACGGTGTAGCCGTTTTGGGAGGTATAGGAGATGCCATTTCAGTTTCTCACTTTAGGTGTTAAAATGTTTAAGGCTATCCTCAATAAATAGGGTTAGCTCTGAATAATTCTTTTGACTAAAGACATGTGTATGGGGGATGGAACACATCTCCAAATACATGTGCAATTTAAAAGGAAATCACGCAGGGGAAAAGGAAATCCTGCTCTTGCACACTGAGAATTGCCAGAGCAGTCAAGGATGCTTCCAGATGAAACTTTTATGATCCTGTTGCCCTGCCTGTCATGGCATTTTACAAGCAGTCCCAACATGGTCAGTCTCTGCTCGTGACCCTCCATGTTTCCTCATGGCCTTCTTCATCTTGTTCCTTAGTTCAGAAACTCTCTTTGGGAATAAAAGATGAAGGAGCTGCATAATGCATTCTGATTGCTAGGGCTAGGAGCCCTCCATCTGGAAGCTCCCCAGAACAATTTAATACATCAGAACAAAAGTGTCTATTTAATGAGGTACCTATTGCTCTTCTTAGAATAATCTCTGTATCTTTTAAAAGGCTACAATTATATATAAAACATCACAGCACTTTGAGTGCTTAATGAGCCCTATATAAGATCCTTCTTAATATCATTAAAGACAATCCTGTAGATCCTACTACATAAGCATCTTAGAACAAACAATATTAAAGATCAGTGTGTCATTGCCTAGATCAGGCAGAAATATTAAATTTGTCTATTAATCCTACATTCAGCAAATGATAAAAATGGTTCAAATGATTTAATTAGATATTGGTCGTATTTGAACTTCATTCCCTCGAAAGGGAATGAAAATGTTAATTGCTCTTTAATCTCTTTCCAACTGCTTGTTAAAGCCAATTGATTATAACATTAACACAGCACGCAGTTGTCTTATTAATTTCAGCAAACAAGATCTGAAATAGTTGGAGGCATCGTTGGCATGAATATCTCGTATAAATCAACCCTATAAACAGACTTCAAGATTTAATATGTATCAAAGCAGAACACCCATGTCTCCCTTTGCCCCACTAAATGGTGCCTTAGGAGAAAGGAGCTGGTAATATGCAAAGCCATTGGCAGGAGGAAGGAGAGAGGGATTATTTTGTACAGCATCCAAAAGGTAGACAATTTGTACATTTTTGTTTGCATTTGAGCTTTCCATTCTCTTTTAGGAGCACAGGCTTCTGCCTTATGCCAAGTCAGCATTTTATGTAAATATTTATTTGATCTATATCTGTGTTTTTATTATGAACTTGAAGCAGCTTAAACCATTCATCACCTCCTGCTCTCAGTCATATTCCCACAACAACCCTGTGAGGTAGGTTGGGCTGAGAGTCTGTGACTGGCCCAAAGGTTACCCCGTGGGCTCCATGGCTGAGCGGGGACTAGACCCTGGATTTCCTGAGTCCCAGTTTGTGAGAGAGAAGGTGCAGAGACCCAGGGGAAGAAGAAAAAGTTAAATCTAGATTCAGGTCTGCAGATCCCAGGTGGTGGTTTCAAGGCCTTTCCAAAGGCAAGATTGGGAAAGACATCAGATTTCTACTGAGAAGTATTGTAAGAATTAACAGCTAAAGTGAATGTTTGGAAATAGTCTTAGTATCATTATGGATTATAATCAAGTATTCTTTGAAGTCCACAGATGTCATGCCACTTGGATTACTGAATCAGCAGAATATATTCTTATTGTATTTCTTGTTTCTACCATTCTAATTTTTATTATGTGTTTTTTCCCTTTACTCCAGCAAAAATCAAAGCTTCACTGAAGATGCAGTCAACCACCCACACATAAACCAAAGGGATCTAACTACAAATGCCCCATAAAACCTCACTTCTGGCACAGCCAGTTTATTACAGAAGGCTCCGCTGTGAACCACCAGGTGGGTGATAGATTTTCTGGGAGGATGATGGTAGGAGCCAGGCAATAAATAGTAGGATGAAAGGGGAAAGGAAATGAGAAAAGTAAAGTGAGATAGAGAATGTCACTAAATAGAAAGCTCCATATTTCATCTTGGTGCTGCAGGTAGTAGTAGACTTTGCTAAAGCATTGTAAACTTCACTGCTGAAATACAAATGTTTCGGAGATTTTTTTGGGAGGGGTCAGTGGAAAATCTCACTAACACACCATCACATTAGGGCTTCAGGTAAGGCAATGATGGAGAATCTGAGTGGAAAAATAAATAACTCTGCTGGAGTGGCTAGAAAGAATCTCCCTCAGAAGAGATGTTATAAAAGTTCCGTGCACTTCTCTGGCCTAATGCATGGCCAGGATGGAGTTCTCTTTGGGAGGACCACTTTTCATAACCCAGACTGGTAGAAGCTGTTGCTTTCTATAACTGGGCTACAGCTGGGAAAATTGGGAGAACATTCTGAAATAATCTGACAAGGGCCAGCTGAGACCTTTGGCTGCCAGAGGTCAAAGACAAGTTGGCACATTCTAATCCATGTACAGAAGCTGGTGATGAGATAGTAGCCTCCAACACACCTGAGGCAGCAGGCTAGCTTCAGGTGTCCAAGACAGGTTGTGTGGCATACACAGCTCAGTTGACCAGCAGAGGAAAACAGTCAAGGAATTCAGGAAGAAGAGTTGGGTGGCTACCCCCACTGCCCCCTCAACTTTTGCCTGAGATATTCACATCATTTCACCTAATGGTAGGGTCAGTCAACCATTTTGTGATTGTACTGTGTGTTAGCCTATGGGTGGACTCTGAGTCTGAGGGATGTTATCTGAGATTAGATTTGGATAAGAACCTACAAATTTATGGGGAAATCTTTCAGTGAACTTTGGAGTTGGACAACTAATGGTGTATTTCCATTTCTGATGTCCTCAGTCAGTGAAGAAGCCAGCCCAACGCCTTCTTCTCACAATGGCTGACAGCTGGCAAGTCAGTAGTGTTAGATGCCCTACTAGAGACTGACAGAATAATACACAAAAAAGATTTTACCAACAAGAAACTCAGCTGACTAGTCATGTAATCTTTTGGTTGGGGGAAATGTCAATATTTTACATCATCAGTCAGCCTCCAGGCCACTATCTAAGGGAGAAAACAGCCTGAAATAATGCCAACATTAGCTGCTACTCCCCTGCTCTGGTTTAATGTACTGACACTAGAATTGCCAGGTGATTGGACTGGTGGAAACAGTTGTGATGTGTTGGATCCTTTCCAAACACATAAAAGTTAATAGGCCAGATAAATTATACCCAAAAATTAGAACCTGGATTGAATATTTGTCTTTAGATATCATCAGTAAATAAACCTTCATCATTTCCTCCACTATCCATCGTCTTTTCTCAAAAACAAAGCATCAAAACCTTTAAGCAGCCTTCTCCAACCTGGTGCCCTTTAGACATTTTGGACTTTGACTGCCATCAGTCACAGCCAACATGGTCAGGAATATTGGGAGTTGTAGACCAGCACAGCTGAAGGACTCTAAGTTGGAGAATGCTGGCTTACATTTTCCTCATACGGAAGGTTGTTTTTACTCTTGCTTGCTTTACAGTGGGATCCAAGGTTTGTCAATGCAGAAATAAGTCCATTGAGTTCAATGGGAAATACTCCCAGACAAGTGTGTGTAGCAGGAACGAATCCCTGGTCAGCACACAGGGCCTCATCTGAGGCAAGAGCAAAAGGAATTTCTGGTGCTGTCTCCAATCAGTAACAATACAGAGACACTGGTTCTCTGAGCACCATCACACAGCAAATCATGTCCATATCAGTTTGCCAAGTATGAAGCAATGTTAGGGTGTTTCTGCAGAAAAACATCTTCATTTTTTCAGGCACATTTCCCTAAATTTATGCATCAGCTGTGCACATTTTTGAAATGTAGACTTTTACCTGACCATTGAGTAAAGTGTTTGTGATCATTTTTCAAATGTACACATTTTTTCTTCATATTTTCAAATGTATGCATTTATCAATCGTTTTTGCTGTGCAAATTGCATTGCAAATTCAGAAATGGACAGACTTTGGAAAACATTTTGTCTGAGGCTGCATTTGATTCTAGGAGATGGAAATTGGATAAATTCTCATCAGCAATGAACTGAAACAAACTCCTCACCCTGGAGAGAGACAACATGTTCCACTAACAATCCCAAGTATATTATATCCATGGGATCTTCTCTTCTTACATTTTGACTGACATTATCTAAAAGTTTCTGATTCAAAAAGCTCAATGAGGCAAGACATCTTTTCCAGAGCTCCTGTGGATTCTTCCCTGGCAAGATTCATTCTAGCCTTAATAGAAGCTTTTTTGCCAATTTCATTTGTCCTAGTTTCTGAGATTTTCCAGATGTCACTCCATCAAGTATTCATTTTCCCCCCCTTGTAACTGCATACAGAATTTCCCTCTGTGGAGAATGGTCATGTTCAGTGTCCTAAGATTAATCCAAACACCTTTGATGCATATATGAACCTGTGATACCTATTGCTGATCTGAACAGGTGCTAAAGTACAGCTTATTTCTTACCTCATCTCCAATGAGAAATTCATCATCAATGGCAAAGGCAATGGGGTTGGTGGGACAGAGCCACCATAAGGGTCGAAAAATAGGATACCCCTGGGAGAGCCACTCCTTGCTATATTTTTCAATGAGAGGAACCACAAAATTCTGATGCCACTCAATGTAATGTCTGGTGAGATTCAGCACCTGAAAGAAGGAAAGTTCAGTATGTCATTTCAACAAATGGGAAAGACAGCTGAAAAACACCTCTCTTCCCTTTTCCCTTTGCACCAGATCAAAATAGTTTTTGAAATACAGTCCTCTATTTGAGCAAGGCAGGATTTTTGGGATGCTGGGTGCTTCCTAAGAAGGTTGTTCCCAACTAACATTATGGGTATACTATAGTTACAGTTAATATGGCACTGTAGCTTATGAGCCAGACCATACAGCTATCTAGCTTGAGGCCCCCGGTGTGCATGACAGAGGCTCAGGCTCAACAGGGGTCCTGAGCCATCGCCCCTGCCCTCTTTGCCCCTCCTTTTCCTGTAGGCACCCCATAAGGCCACTGCAGGGGCCCCAAGATTTCCCACCTCCCTGCTGCTGCTGCTGCTTGGTGGGGGAGGGGAGCAGGGAACAGCTGATGGTCCTCTTTCCAACTTGCAAGTAAGCCTTGCAGGCCATGATGGGGCTGCCAGTGCTGCTGCCAAATCTCTGCAGAGGCCATGCGGACAGGACACGCCGGACAGGGCCAGCATGGCTAACGCACAAGGCAGCTGACCAGAAACTAAGTTTATAACAAACCCAAATAAGCCGCAGTGGGTTCATAAGACGTGACAAGCACCCCTGACTTTTAAGTGTTGCGTGAACTCAGACAATGAATAGAAGGTTGCCCAGAAAATATGAACTTCGTGGTTATTTGATTTCGGTCTGTTCAGACATCTCACCCTGGCCCATAAATTCTCTCTTCAATCATGAAGCTGCCCTGCCAGCTTTTCTCATGCGTATCCCCCAGAGTGCCACTTCTTTATTACAGCAGAGAAAGAAGGAGAGGGCTGCCCACGGGGTTTCAGTCTAATGAGGCACAGTAAGATAGGAGAAGCATGGAACGGCCAAGTGCCTGGAGCCAGCTGTTCGATGGCTGGGATTTAAGAAGAAATGGTGCTGAAAAATGGGGACTGAAAAATCAGGACGCAGAAACCAAGGTTTTCAGACTTTTTAAAAGCAGGAGGGGTTAAGACAGAGAAGACCAGCCAGGGAAAGAGAGTTGCAGGTGTGTGAGGGAGCAAATGAGAATAGATGGGGATTTTTTTTAAAGTTACAGGTCTAGGGGACTAGCATTCTCAGAAAGAAGATTGGGAGATAAGAATGGGATAGAAAGGGATAGAAAGGATATAAAATGGGAAATGGAGATGAGAGTTAGACACTGGGTTCGCAAAATACTGCAAGCCAGTGCAACTGTATCAGCCTGTTGTCTTGTCTGAACTCAGCAGCATCTTTGCTAACTACTCTGCCCAGGTTCAGAAAGCATAACAAACCACTCCTGGCTTGTAAGCCACCATGGGTTATCATGATGTCTGAATCCAATCCCTGAGAAAAAGGAGATGGCTTTCTTGTGGGAACCTGAACTGCTGCAAGGAAACAACATGCAAAAGGGTTTTGTTGGCCTTTGCACTGTCCGAAAGCACATGTTAAACATAAGACATGAAGGTAAACCTACCCAGTCATCACAACAGACCCACGGTGGAGTGCTGAAGGACATCACTGGAAGGAAAGCCACTATCTGGAGCCATCTAACATATAGCTCTTCATCAGACAGAACACCAGTTGCAAGAGTTCCCCCTGTTCAGCATATACAGAAAATGGAAAAGAAAATAAATGCAAGTGAATTTAATTTTACTTTTAGGGCTTTTCTAGCAGAAGTGGTTGGTATTTACAGGCTCTTTAGACCATATAGTGATTATCCCGTTTTGTGTCAGTTTTTTTCAGAGCATTTCCCCTTATAATAAGAATAAGGAAAATGAGCTATTAAACTGCAGTGCAGAAAATGATGCTCTCCCTCCTGGCATATTTGTGCCATCCTGCTATAGCACAGTTCTACCTAGAGGTTGTGAAGCAGCAAGCAGGAAAGGAGGAGCTTTCTTGTGTAGAATTCAGGTTTGAATGCTCTGACAAACCGAAAAGATCATGTTGTGCGCTGCCCAAACAGCTTATACTGTTGGGCAGTATAGACATAAAATACAATAATTAATTAAATAAATGTAGGTAGTGCAACCAAAAGCCCTTAAATGCAGTAATTCAGGAACAGGAAGCCTGGGTTAACAATAAAATCATTGCAACTAAGCCTCTGTGTTTTCCTGAATACACATGATGACGATGTGGCCCAACAACTGCCGAGATGCCTCATCCCAGTCTACATCTGCTGCATGGAAGAGCTTTGCAAAATGCGGTTCTTCGCATCTGGCGATGTTGTCTGCTTCATCCATCACAGTAGGGCCAGCTCAGCATTACACAGGTGCAACTTCCGTAAAGAGCATAAGCTAACATTGCAGCACCATGAATGGAACTGCTAAGCTTAACCCCAATTTTCTATTTGCTGGTGCAGAAACCAGTAGGATCCAAAGAGAAAGAAGATGCACAAGGACCATAGAAGCCAGCACTGTTCCAAAACTAACAGCACATTCGCAGACAGTACAGATTGCGCAAGATGAATGGAACTGAACAAAGAACTAACCCACACACAGTGTGCCACTGGTGCTGTTCAGAAGGCACACCAGTTTTCCGAAACATTTCAGAAGCAATGGAAAAAGGCAAACGAGGCTGAATCATATTATGATTTCACCTCTTTGACCATCAGACTTCTGCAACAAAAACAATGTGATTGGCTTGTTTTATGTTATGAAAGATTCTAGCTGATATATGAAGCAAAGAGGGTTCCAGCTGGAACAGCCTTTGTATAAATAGCTGAACTGGAGATTAATGATCCAGCTACTAAAAGTACAAAAATCTTTCAGCTCTCATTGTCTAACATTTTATTTGCATCCATTGCAAATAACGGCGATGAAGCAGATACAGAATACCAATACTTAGAAAAGCAAGAGGTAGCTATAGCAGGTGAAATATATAAGATTGAATTAATGCTTATGAAAAGAAAGTGCATTTCTGTGCATTTTGTTTGCCTCTGTATAACTATTTTAATAGTTGCATCAGCAGAAATTATTCTTGTGGGGCTTCTTAAGGGTCATTCAAATTCACCATTCAGAATAAGGGGTCACTCTTATCCATGTTTAAACATAAATAAGTTCCACATCTCCCAGAACTCCCCAGCCAGCATGGTGGTGAATTATGGGAGCTGTAGACCATTTTTGCATAACAGTGCAGCCTCAGTCATTTTTAGAGGACACCCCATTGAAATCCATTGGACTTATATTAGCCATGACTACCTGAAATCCATGGATTTCAATCTGTCTACTCAAAATATTTATTTATTTAGAAAATTTCTATGCCGCCCCATTCACCAAAGCCTCGGGGTGGCTCACAAAACATTAAAATATAATACATTAAAAATATAAAATGAATTTACAATCTAAAATAAGTCGCCCTGGCCAAAGAATAAAATAAGGAAATAATATTAGCAATTAAAATGACGTTTGAATAAAAAGGTCTTCGCCTGGCGCCGAAAAACAAATAACGACGGCACCAGGCGGACCTCTCTGGGGAGCGCATTCCATAGATTGGGCGCCAACGCAGAGAAAGCCCTCCTCCAAGTACTCACCCTCCTAATTTCCTTCACGGAGGGTTCCTGGAGAAGGGCCTCTCCTGCAGATCTCGGGGCGGGCGGGCATATATGGACGTAAGCGCTCCTTCAGGTAGCCAGGACCCAAGCCGTTTAGGGCTTTATAGGTCATCACCAACACCTTGAAAATATGGCTAATTCTGGATCCAATATTACAGCAGGTGTGGTGGGGAAAGTATGTAGCAGTCTGACTAAAGGGCACTTCCCTTTTCACCTCACCTTCACACTTTTTTGGTCATCTAGAATTTCATAACAAAGTTGTAGGGTGCCTGCATGTAAGTCACGGCATGTGTCAAGCCTGCACAGAGTAAAATGTGAACCACTGTTTACACTGCTTACATCAGTTGCAAGTGATGTTACGACTTGCACAGACATGGCTTGTTAACCTGAGCGTGGAAACTTCTTTTCTGAAGATGCTTCCCAATGACAGATCAAAACATTACTTGAATATCATGTGTCAAAATTATTCCCCTCCCACAAAGAGTGGCTGACAAATAGCTTTGGCTATTGGACAATATAGAAATGTCATGAATAGGAAAATAAATAAGCAAGCAAAGGTGTATGTTCCAGTTGAGGATGGGGTCAAGCTCCCTCTGGCTCCCTTGTTGCCAGTTTAGCTCCCATCCGAAATGCTCTGTCATTTATCTGGGCAGGCAGAGTTGTCCTTTCACACCCTGGTGCCTTCAAGTATTCACACAATGATGGGTGTTGTAGTCCAACACACTTGGAAGGCACCCGGTTGATGAAAGCTGAAGGCTTTCTAGGGATGTGTCCAGACAGATGGATGCTTGCACTACTTATCCAAAGGCTCTGTGCAGCTATTCCATTTTCCCCCTTAACAGACTTTCTGGGTTAAGAAAAAAGATGGAAGAGGAGGTGGGAAGATATGGGAGGACTTCAAATGGAATACAAGCACATCTGACCCACTGTAAAATTCTGTGAAAGAAGCAAGGAGATTGTTGAAGCACTGTAGGAAGTCTGTGTTGGTTCTCAGATTCAGGAGCCATGGTGGTCGCTGATTGGTTCATAGAGCAAACCTATGTCCCCTAGACAGTGCCTGGGGAGCCATACAATTTTTGAGGTTCCCAGATCTGAGGTCAAAACAGAGCTCCAAGTCCAGATCAAGGACAGCAACCTCAGAGAAGGGATTTGGGGGTGGGGAAGGGGACCGAGGGAAGGAAACCAAGGCCACCTAGATAGTAGCTTGGTGGAGGCCCAGCCTCCTTCCTTTCCCACCAAAGCACCATTGTTATATGGCTGAAGATGCTTTGTAGAGCAGGAGAAGACTCTGCTCTCCTACCTCTCTGTATAGGATGCCCTATGATTCATAGAATCATAGAATAGGAGATTTGGAAGGGCCATGAAAGCCATTGACTCCAACCACCTGCTGTTACAGGACACCATATTACACCATCCCACTCAGATGACATGCCCATGGTGGGCATGTCATGAGTGGAGCCGGCTGGAGCCGGGGGTCAGACTAGATGGCCCGGGAGGTCCCTTCTGACTCGCTCTGTTTCTGTGTTTCTATGGCTGTCCATTTTCCTTTTGAATGTCTCTAGTATGAGAGAGCCCACCACCAATCTAGGCAGCTGGTTGTGTTGCTATGACCATGAGGAAGCTTTTCCTGATGTTCAGCCTGAATCTGGGTTGCCACAACTTGACTTGATTATTCCATGTCCTACATTCTGGCATTAGCAAGAAGAGACCTTGTCCTTCCTCTTTGTGACAGCCTTTGGGGTACTTATAGAGGGATATCTGTAATTCACAGGGGTTCTCTGTGTCTGGAGGGTTTCATGCATCTCCACTGGCTTGTACCATTAGTTGTTCCCAGGATCACTACAACTACTGAAAGTTGTTCTCCTTTTTGTAGTTAAGACGTACCCCACTCCCAACTCAATAAAGAGGCATATGTCCCAGATGGCATATACGCTTGCCATGATGAGAAAGTCCTTTGGGGTAAAAATTAATAGTATTTCAAAACAGCAGAATGGAACTAGCAGAACCTGAAGGTAAATCTTGTGTTCCCCCCATCCTGAAAGGTTGGAGCTCATTTGTTTCTGGTTCTCACAATGTGCTGTCACTTGAGCAGCATTGCAGCAAAATATTTTGTTTGGGAGAGAATTTTCTTTCCAGCAGGAGCAGGAGTTGGATTCTTGATGCCTGAGGCAAGATTTTCAATAAAATCCCCTCTTAACCCTCACCATCTCCCCTGCTAGCTTGAATCCCGCCTTTCACAGGGAAATCCATCTGCTCTCATTTACAGCATGTGGTCCTTATAAATTCGATAACAATACCTGGTTCACGCCATCACTTTTCTGCTCTAACAGAGCAAAATTGTGTTATAACCTCCAAGCCCCATAAGGATCTACTAAGCTACGTAAAGCCGTGTCACGTTACATTGCCTGTCAAAGTCTTTTGGATTAGTTAAGTGCCACTTAATCTTCAGTGTGTGATGAACTGCAAACAGCTGTATTCCTGAATTGAGAAGGTGGCATTCTGGGACAAGACAAAATCCTTCCTATTTCAAGTGATATCCATGGCTATGGGAATATCAAGTCTGTGGTATTGCTTTAGCATCTGGAATATGCACAAAACTTAAAATCACCCTTGTACCGCTAGGCACTATTTCCCAATTCATTTTCTTTTGCTTGGGCAAAAGGATGCTTGAAAGGGTTCAAGAGTCAAACCATACCAATCTAGCATCTAAAGGCTGCCCTCTGGGATTCTCCAGCTCAGTTCAGACAAAGTGAGAGAGGAGCTGCATATACTGTCACAAAAGCTGGTTTCTAAACAAGACTACAAGAGGCACTAGTCTATTAAAAAGAAAAACAAAACCCGGTCCATTGCCCATGATTACCTTTGTGCATTTAGCTAGGGCCTAAAAGTGAAACAAACATTTATAGAGCTAGGCCAAGCTTGGATAGCTGGAGGTCACCCATAGTATGCTTTCCCTACTGAGAAGTCGGTCAGCAAAATGCACTAGGGGAACAGGCAATCTCCTTACTGCCCAGATCTGGATTGGATCTTTACAGGGGTTTTTGGCCCCCCATAATGTAAAGAGGCAGGGAACCACGCATGGATCTCGTCCCTCCTGTGTGGCTTGGCCCTTGCAACAGGCCACAGGGTGAATGGCTGTTCACAAAGCCAATGCCCAAGAGCTGCAGTGCCCTCCCGACCCTTGGGAAGGGGACTTAATAGGCAAGGCTGGCTTGCATGATCAGGCACTCACTTAGTGGTTTGATACAGTTAAGGAGAGGAAGACTTATTTCCCAACTGGTTCCTTGTTCCAGCGGCCTCTGCAGCTTACTGTCATGACAATTTGAGCCCCCTTTGCCCTGCTGTACTTCTAATCTGAGACCTGGTTCACACTGCACTCCCACAGAAATGCTATTTGCATTGCTTCATTGGTCCTTACAGACTGGGAGGAGTGCAGAGATCCTTGGAGTGCTTGCCTGTCTCTCACATAACTTTGCTAGGTCTCTCAGGAGAAGCGTGTGCGAAGCGCGTGCACTCTGCACCACGCCGCCTTCCTTATATGCCCTCATGCCCCTTGAGGTCTGTGGGAGAAGCCCTGCTCCGGGAACCCTCTCTAAGAGAGGTAAAAAGGTCATCAACTCAGAGTAGGGCCTTCTCTGCTGTGGCGCCCAGACTCTGGAATGTACTCCCCAGAGAGGTATGCCTGGCGCCAAGTTTATACTCTTTTCGGTGCCAGGCCAAAACCTTTTTATTTAAACAGTATTTTAAAATTTAACAGCTTTTAAGTTTAGTCGCTCTGTTTTGTGATTTATTGTTCTGTTCTGTTCTATTATTTATTGAAATTGTTGTTTTAATTGTTTTTAAATATTGTAAGCTGTCCTGAGATCTTGTATAATAGGACGGCATACAAATACTTTTAATAAATAAATAAATAAAATTTGCCTAGATACGAACAGCTCCTTGTTCAAAACTAGTTGGGCCTTTTTTAAAATTCTTTTGGTGTCATCCTTAGGAATCTGAACAGAGAACTGCAGGTATCACTGATGTGTCATTGAATGTTTAAGCTGGAAGTGCAGGGTTGTGAAGCAGCTTCCAGTCCACTAGAATAAGGATGTGCCATCCAGTCTCAGATCATAGGCAAGAACATGTGACATTCAGGCCAGTTCTGCCACTGCAACTCTCTGCTTACTGTGAGTGGCATTGGCCTACAAGGGCATTTTTAAGCACTTTTTATTTTATAAATGCACTATACAGGCAAGGCAAGGCAAGGCAAGGCAAGGCAAGGCAAGGCAAGGCAAGGCAAGAAAAGCAAGAGACCAGATATATATGACCTTAAGTACATGACTTGGGTTGCAGTTTAAACAGAAAAATTTAAACCTACCATATTTGATTCATTACATCACTTTCAAAATAAACAACACTCTAACAAAACCCCCAATCCACTTAAAGGGTGTTTGGTTCTTCTGAAGTAGTTCCAAGCAAACAATCTTCAGTTAAAATCTCTTAAGATTTTTAAGTATCTCCCTGGCTCCCACAATGTCCATGGAGATTTGGCCAGGCCTAATGTAAACAGCCATGTGCCTGAAATTAGAAATGTCAGAAAGCGTGCAAACAACAATTTGTAAAGATAGAAGTCATATGACTTCTTGCTAGGCCGAGAATAGTGTCATGGAGGATCAGTTTGCAGACCCGTTTCAGTCTGCAAAGAAAATTCTGGCCAGTAAAATAAATCCCTGGAGGTATATCTTTCTGTCTACCAACCAACCTTGATCCTGATTAAGTACAGGCTTTTAGTTAGACTGTATATATGTACAAATACAAACATGTTCAAGGGCAATCTGACATTTTTTCAGTTGTGGGCATGTCAGGAGGTTGCAGAGATAATTCCACTCTACAATAAAACAATAAAACTGCACACCACATAATGCCTCTGGAGGTATTTGACATCTCATCACTGCCAAGTCATTGTCCAACTTCCTCTACCAGGATAAAAACTAGGAGATTGATTTTTTTAAAGAAGACTTTTTGAGGATACTGAATGCTTAACCACATCCTAGATTCTGCTGTTGCACCATAGGTTTGCCAGTGCCTTGCCACAAAATTGCTAAAGAGGCAGACAAGAGCACCCAGGACTGGTCATTCACTATCAGCACTCTCACATTGCATATTAGTATTATCTCTCAGGAAAATGACTCTCAGGAAATCTACTGTGGCACCAAAGAGAAATTCAGACAGTGCTGTCTCCCAAAAGCAGGGCTTCGTGTAGCTTGGGCTGGGCTGATGGGATTTGCAGATGTACATTCATTTTCCTATAGAAACACAGGAAGCAACCTTAGACCAAGTCAGAGCAACTGGTCCATCTCTTTTTTTTGTTTACAGTTGGCCAGGAGCAGCATTCCCAGGCTCCAGCCCTACCTGGGGATTCTGAGGGCTGAATTTAGGACCATCCCTGCTTTGCCCCTGAGCTGCAGCCCCTCTTCTCACAGGAAGACTTCTTTAGCCTGTGGAAAACAGATTTGGAAAAAGAACTGGGAGAAGCAGAGCATCAAGTATTACCTATTGCATCTGGAATAAAAAAGTTGTATCCCAGAAGACTGTAGTGAAGTGCAGATGGAATAATCCCCTTTAAACCAGCATAGCTCCAGTCAGATTGCCGTGGGCTCATTTGGAGAAAGAGCGGCAGGTGGCTAGCTCTAGAAGCAACGAAAGCAGACGGGCATGAGCACCAGAAACATTCGCACGCACAGTAATCACTCTGGGGAAGGGTCCACATTGGCATCCAAGACACAAACAGCTCTGTAAAGACCAGGTCATGCGGCAGCAGTCCTTGCTCTTGACAGTGTGCTGTTCTACTACCCAGGCCAAAGGCGTGTTTACATCCAGTGGCACTTACAGATGATGTTTTATGCAACTTGAATTCTGAAGAAAGAACCCTCCCAACCTCAATGTTCTGCTGCAGATCCTGACTAATTCCTTTACTTCTGATATTCAGGCTGTGATGGTCATTACTTATATAGCTGGAACAGTTAGCTGCAGGGAGATATCAGCAAGCTTGAGGAAACCTCAAGGTTCACAGCAGTACAAAAGTGTCATTCAACGTGTCTGCGTCTTGCTTCTGCGTCATATGTATATGTAGAGAGAGTGGGGGAGGACATGAGAACTGAGCAGTTGCAGCAGCCATAAAAATACCAACTGACTGTTGTGATGGTGGCAGACATAAAAACAGATGGGAGGACAAAAGAGAATGAAGGAGCTAAAAATTCAAACTGCAGCATTCTGCACTGCAACATTCTGTTGCATCGACTTCCATTGACTTACTTTCTGCTGCAGGCACCACAAAGTGGGAGAAACTGTTGGTGGAGAGATGGGGAGAGCAGGAGTGGGGAGGGAAGGAAGAAACAGGGCACAAGGGACTCTTTGGGCCTAGCAGAACCAATTTGCACTGGGAAAGCCAGGACAGGCAAGTTAAGGGGGTAGGTGGAGAAGAGCAGCTGTTTCCTTCTGCATCCTCTTCTTGATCTCCCAGAAAATACCCTTCACCAATAATGTACCATTAGTAATGAGGGATGGGAGAGATATTCCTTTCATTCAAATTGTGCAAATTTGCTGAACCAATGAGCAAACCAAAACTGAGTTGTACACCAAAATTTTTCATTTCCAAACATTTAGGGCAACAGTCCTCCACTCAAAAACAGTACTCAAAAATGTGCACACCAAGGAAAAGCAACCCACCCCCCAAATGCTACAGAAATGTGTACACAAAAATGTGTGCAATCATGAAAATAACACAGGGAAATGTGTTATTCTAGGGAAAGCAGCTTGCAAAAGTTCCACTTACATTTGGAAGACTTCAAAATTAAAATGTATTTATATGGAATCAGGCCAGTTTCTTAAAGTTGGAAAAAGGAGAAACTGGATGGAACCGAAATTGACAGGTCACCCATTGTTGTGAAGCACATACCACCTTATGTGGAGACAGGCAATGCAGAGCGTTGAAATAGCACAGTGCTAAATGTCATGTGAAACCCAGTGATAAATCAACTTCCATTGCATAGTGGATGAGCATTGCCACAGTGCCCCAGCATGGAAGAAAAGATCAGAGGATTACAGTTCCCAATCTTAAAATGGAACCAGTGAAAGAGATTTCTTAGTTCTAATGAAACCTCAATGCAGCTTCTGTCCACAGAGATAGGAGGGGAGGTTTTAGTGAGCAACCTACTTTCACCAGACCATAGCAATCTGAATACACAGGACAGTAAAACTGCAAGAACACAACCGTATTTGAAAGAGACACTGTTCAGAGATTTTGCCTGAGACGAACCTTGTGCCAGCACTAATTACTGATGAATTTCCAAGTGTAACCGCTATCAAGGCTAAAATGCAGATGTAGTTATCCTCTTTGAGTTCAGTGGGAGGAGGAATTGCATGTTCCAGAAACAAGTTGCCTTCTCCACCTTCAAAAATCACATACTCTGCCCCCAGTCGCTGCTTCAGGAAGTTCACTTGGTCCATGTACCAGAGCACTGCAGCCTGGCTGGTTACATTTAAACGAGCAGAGAGCTGCCCTCGCCATCTGCTGAGCAGTGGCACCTACAATAGGAAAGGGGGCATTAGAGGGTGTGACAGAAGTATTAGCTATTTGCTGAATACAAATTGGCAAGCAATGGTCCAAGATCCTGGCTCCTTCATCCACAGAGGTCAAAGTTCCTGAGATAATGGATATGGGAGAGGGCTCAGTTACAGAAGGGCATCATAGTTCCCTCCTTCATAGGATCTCATTCTCCAGAAGGCCCCAGGGACCTCCTTTGTCCAGAGAAAGTCATGTTACAACCCTCTTATTCTGAGGGTGCTGGCCATGAAGATGCCACCTCATTGCAGCGACATCCATGTCATTACAGTCTATGAGTGCTGAAGCAGGCCAGGCCTCTATTAGGTGCAAGGTCATCAAAGGGAGGTAGAGCTAAACCAGACTAAAGGAAGCCAAATCCATACTTAAGGCTCAGCCACAATCTTTTGCTTGCTGGAGCAACACGCAGGCGAATCTGTCAAGCTTCCAGTCCCTACATCACTCAGAGCTCTCCGTGGTGCTGTGCTGTTTCCTGCTTCTCTAGGAACGCTGACTCCTGCTTGATCACCTCCTCCCGTACATTACTCAGCCCCAGTTCCTTGGTGTGAACTGGACCTCAAGGTGCCCAGTGACTCCAGCCCTTACTGCAATGACAGGGCTTCATGATGGATGGTTTCACTTTTGTCCATCCTCTCCTCCCCCCTGCAGTTCCTTGTACCCTCTGAAAAGCCACTCTGGTCACCTGCGAGGCCTTCTGGAATATTGTCAGAAGTGGTACGGGGGCCTGAGGAGTGCAGAATGGCCAGTTGGCTGGGGAGTGCAGAATACCACCCTGGCTCCAACCAAACTCTAATCACTATTCTGTTGGTTGTGAATAGTGGATGCAATTGATTAAACATTAGTTGAAAGGGAGATGGCTTGCATGAGGTTTTACTTGACTCCAAGAGGTATAGGTGAGTGTGCTCTCAGGGTCATCAAACCTTGAAAGCCCTTATTTGCTTTCCAGTGATCCACTGAATTTGAAGGGACCACTCATGGGTGTTTGCTTTCAAGTTTACACTCATTGAGCTCCACCACATCCCAGATCCTCTCCATAAACAAACCAGAATATTTTATAACTGGTGTGCTTTTTCAGAACAGAGCTACTCATCTGTATTAATGTGTGTCACCAGCATTGAGACTGTTTTATTAGCCTGTTAGATTTCAAGTTTTAAAATATTAGTCTGTTTTATTATGTTGTTAATAATGCATCTCCTGTAAGATGTTTCTTTTACAGAGGCTGTCAAAGTTACAGCTATATTTCCCCACAACCAAGTACAGGTCTGAGGCCAGAGAATTATTGTATAACACAGTTTGAACTGATTCATTAACTATGGAGGGTCTTAGTAGACTTTACACTGGGACTAGGTCTTTCAACACATTGTCTTCTAAAAGCAGCCAGAGGGACCCCCAATTTGGACTGGGGCTCTGGTTCCCTCCCAGACATGTGGTGTTGCCTCTTTGGCCATATTGTGACCATATGTTTTGGCCTTCATAGCCAACAACAGCTCCAGATAATGATTCGGATCAGGCCCATGACAGAGAGAAGAGCTAGACCTGCTCTTCAGAGGTCTATCCCAACCAGGGTTCAGGGTTGCATCCATAATAAGATAAAGTATGTTGCCAATTTGATCATAACCATTTCTACAGAAGGTGTCGTGCCTGCTGCCTTGCACAAACCAAGCAGTGCTTAGCCCACCTGGTAGCTGCCTGCTTAGACCACACCAGGCACTGCAGTCGGCCGAGTGAAAGAAACAATATCAGGAACTCGTACCGCATAGTCACCAGGTTCTGAGTGGTGGCTCAGCCAGAAGTCTTCTTTGCCTTCTTGCAGAGACCTCTGGAAAAGCTGGGAGCTGATACTTGCATAAGGGGACAGAGTGATGGCAAGTTTTAGTGGCTTTATAAGTGAGTAGTCCATGGCAAGTTTTACAGTATGCAGCCTTTTTCTTCTCAGCAGGGGTAAATATGTGTGCTCCTGAGAGAAGTGAGAAGAGAGAGCTTTGGATTAAACAATCATTGCATCCCTGGGCCCAGCAACCACAGTGCTTCGAAGCTAAGGTCAAGCAGCAAGAGGCTCTCTGTTCCTTATTAAAGGAAGCTTTCCTACTTCCTGTTCATTTTTTTCAGCACAAAAGCACAAGAGCAGGGACCAGTATCAGAAGAAATGTGCCACCTTATGGATGGTCTGGCTAAGCATGGGCAGGCCTTTATACACCACTGCTGGCTGTGTTGTAAGGGTTCTTGCTACCACGATTGGCTTAGTAGGGCTTCCATTAGTCAAATTTACATAGGCTTGGCTTCAAAAGTTCTACAGCACGGGGTGCTCCCACTGAAGGATCTGGAATGTGGCATGCTGGGATATTTTCAGGGCCTAGATAGGATGCCAATGGAGCACCATAAATTGCTTTCAGCTGATTAATAAGATGAAGTACCAGAGAGATATTACCTAAATAGTAATGTTAACAGTGTAAGAGGAGTTGAGACCTGCATTGTCCAATAAGGTGACGATGTTTTTTATTGTGTTAATTGAAATATAGTATATATTAAAAGATTAATCCCAAAATGAGTAGACAAAAAGGATTGGCATGAAAGATTTTAAAAAGTAATAATTGTATATGTAACTTCATACATACATAGTGGTCCAGGCTGCTACTGAAATGTGCATCAAAACAAAATGTACATTCATTAGTGAGTTTATACCTGTAACCCCCACATTCCTGTGTGCATTTGCACATCTACATCTTGTGCATCTGTGCATTCAACAGTGTATGAACTAGTTGAGTGTGTGCACTTGTATTTGGGATGGTGACAAAGCCCAAGTGAAAAAAATGAAAAGCTATAGATTATACATTTGGTGATAAATATTAAACACCTGATCAAGTTGTCATCATAGTCAATGAAGCCACCTCTGTACATGGAAAAATGGGACTCTTTGACCAAAGGTTGAAAAAGTGATATCCCTATCTGTCAAAAATTAAGATGAAATGCTGGAGACCAAAATATTTGTGGAATTAGCACGGGGCCTGGAAATTCTGCTCCATCGCATGGCAGTTTGCCCACACCCTCTACAAACCCACATACCGTGTGATGAAGTAGCATTGTGGAATGCTCACTGAGCATGATTAGGCCCTCCCCGAGACGATGTGTTTGCAGCCTGCTGAAGAAAGCTCTTAATCCTCGCTCCATTTTGGCAGCAGAATCTGCTTCTCCGTAATACCTCCAGACAGTCAACCTGCATCGTATAATGAAAGAGAGGAGTCTCGCTTCATCCTAGCAGCTGGTCACTAGTCTGGCTCACAGATTTCTCTAGGTGAGAAGAACATTGGATCCCTGAAATATTTGGATCGAACCAGGATATCTAGGAAGATGTGAAAGGGATGGGGCCCTTGTAGGCAGTGGGTTTCTTTGAAGATCCCTACTTGCTTCAGTTGCTTGTGTTTATAGTACAGAAGTGACATGAGGATTCAGGCTTGACTGAAGTGGACTAAAGCAAGTGTGGGGAACTTGTGGCCACTGGCCCACATGCAGCTCTCTGATGAATTTCAAAAGCCCTCGATGTGCAATCAGTTCCAACTTCTGGCAAGAGTTCCCTTTCCTGGAACCCCAGTAAATAGCAAGGAGGAGGGAAAGGAAATAAAGGGGGAGGCAGAAAGAGAGAGGTAGAAAAGCAGGGACCTACCCACTTTTGGCTGTGGCTCACTAGCTTCAGCCCTGGACAGGAGAAAGCTCGGCAACCCATGAAAAAGGATCCAATACTTCACACACTCACTCACACACACACACACACACACACACACACGCTGCCTGTAGTGAGGAAATGGCCATGCCGGCCCAGGTCAGCTGACCATATTGTTCAGGGTTCTGTCTGCCAAAGGTGTTCAGCCTGCTACTTCAAGAAAGCTCAGAAGCCCCCTCAGCCCACCTCACCACCACCACACACCTGTTAATCTCCTTCATCTGGTGGGAAGTAGAAGATGAAGACTAAAGTTGTGCTTTGTGGCTACTATGATTAGTAGCTACCAGTTGATGTATTTTCATATGTAGCATTTCCACCAATATATACTAGAATACTTGAACCTGGGGTCATCCCATGAAGGTGATGGGTGGAAGATTTAGGACAAATTAAAAAGTCCCCCTTCATACAATGAATAATGATGCTCTGAAATTCACTGCCACAGGAAGTAGTGATGGCCAGCAGTTTGGGTGACTTTAAAGGGGATCGGACACATTCATGGAGAAGAAGGCTATTGATGGCTACTAACCTTGCTGGCCAGGTGCTACCTCTGTTACATGCATGCAGCATAGCTGCACGCACCAGTTGCTGAGGAGCCTGGACAGGCAGAACTCCTGCACCCGTCTTGCTTGAGGGATCCTGCGGGCAGCTGGTTTGCCATCATGTGAATGCAGTGCCGGACTGGGTGAACCCTTGGTCACACCCAGAATGGCTTTTCTTATATCCTCACATTCTGATGTATGCATTTTCCAGAGCTCTAAGTCCATCTGTCACATGTCAGTTAAATTGCCATCTCTAGTTCTCCACTATCAGTAATCAAAAGCAACACACATGTTTCCATAGACATGAAAGAGTGCAGACTTTTACAATCAACACTGATTGGCTGAATCTACACTTCAGTGAACTGCTGGTGGATGAAACTGAAAAGCTTTCTCATGTGCCACAATAATTAGTTGTTATAACTGCTGCAATTAACAAAGAAGTGACATCCTCATCTCAGCATTCCTGGAAGGCGTTTGCAAGAGCAGTGCTGTTCGCTGCCAGCCTTCTAACTGGCGTTAAAAAGGACCACATGTTTATCCTTTTAATATGCACAAACATATTGAATATTGAATATTTAATATTCTGTATAACAAGCAATTGGACACACATAATAAGGATGCTCACAGAAAGTGCCAAACATGCTGTTAATGCAGATATGTGTAACAATACTCCAGCTTCCTATTTTGAAAAGAGAAATCAGATTGGGAAAAGGTGATTTGGCTTGGAGGCTGGGAAGGATGCTTAACCCTTTCCCCATCCATGGTTTTGCTGCCTGCAATGATCCTTCCAGCTGTTTTTTCCCCTTCCGCACTGGGTCATAACTTGTGATTGCAAAAGGCTGTTTCACGCCCAGAGGAGACAAGAGGGGCAACATTTGCATGTGTGATTAGGAACTGAAAAGTGATGGGTGCGGGAAAGGCTGCTTACCCAATCTGCTCATCATTGGATTTTTTAAAAATGGCTCCAAAGCTCCGTCACATATGTTTGCATACCATCTGCAGCTAGCCCTCAATCTAAAGAAGCTCTTTAAGATCTTGTCGTTAGACAGCTGCTCGGATTCCCACCCCCTCTGCAAACTTCCCATCCCAGTAACTTTCTTACCGAAGAAGGCCACTATCAGGCAGCTTCCGTGGTTGTCCTGAGAATTGGCTTCCCACTTCCAGATGGGCAGAGATGATGCCCTTGCTGGCACATACTGTGTACTGCAGGAATGCCATGTCAGCGCCAGGGGTGCTCTCAAGGCAAAATTGGTGGTCCCTCTCTATGGAGAGGGAGAGGGGTATGTCTGAGGCGCTCATCACTGTCACTCCTTTGAAGAAAGCAGAGAAATGAACCAGACAGTTAAGTGCATGTTTCATTTTGTCAGACGTTGGATGCAATTCCAATATAATTCTTGATTGATAGTGTGGAAAATAAGAACAGCTCCCCACTCCACTTTCTTTGATGATGATGAATATAGGACAATAAATCTAAATATCTCTCTCTCTCTGGTAACTGCTTATCCTGCATGCAAAGTTGCAAGCTTCCCTGCAACATCCACATGGCCCTGGATCAGGGGAACGGAGCCTCTTTTAGACTAAGCCCCAGTTCCATTCTGGAGAAGCTTTCAGGAGCCACATTTTATTGGTAAGCAGGCCCAAAAGGAATAAGGCAGGGCTAACCCCCCCACACACCACCAATACCACCCTATTTTAGAGTACAACTCTTGCAACCAGAAGCTAAGCCTAAGGAGAGTTACTGTAACCTTTTTGAATGAGCTCCTGTAACCTTTCCTGCATAAAGCCAGGAAACTGCCAAATGATTGACAGAAAGAGGGTAGGCAGGGGAGGTGGAGGCCTTCTGGGAGCCATGCAGGGCTAGATTTAGTCTGCACCCCTATTGATCCTATGGTACAACCTCCCACAATCTGGTACTCTCCAGCTGTTTTGAACTACAACTCCCATCACATCCAGTGATCATGCTTTTGCAGATTATGTTAGATGGGGACCAAAGTAGCAGATGGACTCTTTGTGACTCTGTTTTGTGTGTGCATGTGTGCAGATGCAAATGGACACAAACAAAAGCCACATAATCCATCTATGCATGACCCAATTACACTAGTTATATTTCTCATGGCTGTGATCATGTCCTTTGCTGATGGAATAATAGGTATAATAACTATAATTAGGTAGCAGAATCTGCAAATGTTCACGGACTGCCATGTGTGTAATTGGGTCCCTCTTGATTGTGGATACACAGAGCTTCTTGAAATTGAACGCCGCGTGGGAAGAGGCATGCCCTGCCTTCCAAGGCTGCTAGTGCTGGCAGAGGAATCCTGTGTGTGGTATGATGCTCAGCCTAGAGAAGCTTCTTTGCTGCTCTTCCACAATGCAGCCAGACACAGGCCCCGAGCAGCCCGGAGCTCCAGGGCTCTGCATGCTTGTGGCATTCCAAATGCGTTTTGAGATGCTGTCACACTATTTTGGCCACACATGGAGATTATTAACACGGGACAGACAGCAGAAGAGAACAAGTTATCCAGCTAATGCAAGCATACCATTTGCATTATACACCAATTCAATAATGCAGGTTTGAGTTCCAAGCCTGGAATGTTCCATGGGCCAAAATGCTGCATGGCCCTGATACGAGTCAGAGTGAAGCAGAAGCCTGAGGTGGCCTGCAGCAGGTCGTGTGGAAGGGGCAGTAGATGCAACAACGCACTGGCTGTTTGCCTCTGTCGGAGGAGAGTGAGTTGTCTGTGACTCACCACCTGCCCTGCACCCCCAGGCCAGCCGGCTGCCTTCACAGGCAGTGCTGGATGCTCTCTCATCCTCCACGATGAACTATGATTCAGTCGCAGCCTGGCCGGCTTCTGTAGCTAGAGTGCAATGGTGCCCCCATGATTCCTGGAGCCTGAAAATGTATGCATGTATGCACAACTTAATAAAAATGTGTTACCCGTTCATGAAATTCACTCTACCCAACAGTTGGGATGTTCTTGCATTGCCCCCTCCCCACCCATGAAAATCCAGGGATGCACAGTTTATGGTCCACAGTGCTGGGAAGTCAAGTGAGAAGAGCCATCTTACCTGTGGACCCCAAGAAATATCTTTCTAAGACAGATCCGTAGCCATCTGGGGTTTGGCTGAGGTTGCTAATAATGAATGGCTGGGACTTGGTGCTCACGTGGTTCAGGGGCCAGAACTGGTGGCTGACACTTGGCCCTCCATACCAGGACACGTTCTCCATGGAGAAGCAATCCTGCGAAGCAAAATCGGAGAGTGAAGATAAGGTAGAAGAACTGCTTCAGTTTGTACGAATGAGGAGGAAGCGAGCTTTGCCCACTTGAGACAGGGAGCCCTAGTCTGGGAGTAACGTAGTGCAGCGTATGGTCTAAGAGCACGATCAGGCATGCTGGAGCCACGTCACGCCCGCACCCTCACTGGTAATATCAGACGTAACAGAGGGGCTGAACTTCTTTCAGTCTGTGGGGGGCTGCATTCCAGTGGTGGGGCAGGGCTAAAGCTAGAAGGAGTGAGAATAAAATACCAAAAATACCAGCAGATTTTAACTTAAAGCTTCTCTGCTTTAAGTAGGAGAGGCACTTAGACTTATTAGTATGGAGGGGAAATGGTCCAAAAGCTGAAGACACATGACATGATTAGTGGTCAGAGGAAAGAGGGTGGAGGCAGAGGAAGGTTGACACATCAGGGAACCCCAGAGGTCCAGATGTGGACCCTGAGCCTCTCTTACAGCTTTCCTACACCCCAATCGAATCTCCTGGCCTAAGACCCAGAACAGACACAAAGCAATATAATCACATGCCCAGGGTCAGGACTGTCAGGTGCATAATCACTGAGACCCCATTTCTTTAAGCTGCTGAAACTATTTGGATCTGTAGGTTCTGGAAGGTGAAAGCAGTGCATCAACAGCCATCTAAAGTGAGTGTTTTTCTTTTTTCTGAATTATTTCCATGTCACTTTCTGAAAATACATTAAGGGTGTTTCCAGATGACATTTTCATTGCACATTCACCCAACCTTGTATTTTATCCAATCCAGACATTGTTACCCACAATGTGTAACTCTTTCATGTTTGCTCACCACTTCTCTTATCTTTTTTACCTGGAAAGAAGGACAGACAGAAACTATTGAGGAGGAAAAGATGGAGTGGCTAAGAGTACCTTGACCAGTAGCACTAAACTCCCTTTATCTGGAAGCACCCGTACCTGCTGTAACTCCTGCAATGGGCTTAGCAGGATTGTAGTTCAGCTCTGAATGATCTCATGTCAAGGATTTTCTAAATTGTTTCACGATTAGAGTTATGGTTCATTGGACTGGAATTCTGAATGTTCATTTTTTGATTAACTTTATGCAAGATCACCAGACTCTCTCACTTTTGGCATTCTTATACTCTCCTGGTTTCTTGGGCCCGGGGAACAGAGAGCAGAGAACTTCAGCAAGGATCAGTTGTTAAAGGCATCTGAAGGCAACTGCACCATGCGAATTTAAACAGCTAATTCTCCTCCTTCATTACTCCACTTGTACTTGCACAGCACTATCAAGGGGTTGTGAATCTTACTGTTGGGAAAAAATCCAATTAGTTCATAATGATAGATAACCGGAGAGATCCTTGCAGTGTTTGTTGCTTGTTGTCAGCATTATAATCCCTGAATTGAGAATAGTTTTCTCTGAACTGAAGAAGCCCCATTATGGATGCTACAACACCACTGCCAGGTTCAGAATTATGGAATAAGCTGGCTGAAGACCTCAAATGTAGGACTGAGGATTCTTAGTCCAAGTGTCACTTGCTATTTCAACTCACCAGGCATGGGGAAATGCTGCTAACACCCTCTTGTTACAGAACAGTGCCATTGGCACCCAAGGTATAACACATAGCTGTATAATTACCAATAGACTGCCTTTGTTCCACTGAAGTTTAATGGGATGGAGCAACCTTGAGGAGAAATACAGCTGGCTACAACCTTCAGTTAATATCCATGTAGCAAATCCCTCTAAATGGGGAGAATTAGTTCTGAGTAACACTTAGGACTGGGTAGCACATTGTCCATATCTTCCTAGCACCTCTGATTTTCTTGCTGACTGCTTAGATGAGCAGCTCCAGCTGTCCTCAGATCCACCATCACATGGTGACACATGTAATTTCTGTGTGTGGAGTGGACTAGTGCAGCTAACAATCCCAATTTCTTTTATCATCACACTGTGAAAAAAACTAAGATGCATTTGCTGTCACTGGAATTGCTGTAGATTATACACTATGTTGATTTACATGCCCATGCATTGCATAGGTTATAAGAATGTGCCCAAAAAAATATACCATGAATAAAACATGTAAACTAAAATGACATGAAATTAGCACATACTGGACGATTATTCTCTTTCAATGGACTAATTCATGCAAGCATGCTCATCACTCGTTGCTTGCAAATCGAGTGATAACTTGCACGTATGAATCAGTCATCAGTCAGAAGATGGTAGTCTTCTCCAGGACCAGCCCAGGGTGCTTTGCCCTCCTGAAGAAAAGAATGAGGTAGGGCCTCTTCCCATTCCATGTACGAACATTGACTGGATGGGGAGATGCATCTCTCTTTAACAGGGATTATGAGAAAGCATCCTCTGGTGCCACTGAAGTGAGCTAAGCTGGGGCCGCAGGGCGGACTGCATGACGCATGCGACTTTTCTCCAGCACTTAGTTGCCCCTCCCAACTTCTGCTGCCTGAGGCAAGTGCCATACTCTGCCTAATGGTAGAACTGGCCCTGGTTGCCTCCTCATATCATCTACTCCACCTCATTGGGATTTCCAAGTCGGATTCTATGAGAATTTCAATTCTGCTCACAAAACATAAGAGCATGTCTTGTTCAAAACCACGAACATGAGCATGAGCATGCACCCACGCTTGCCAGCCATGCGCTTGCTTTCAGTTTGCACAACTTCCTAGTTTAGCTTGCAGCAAATTTACTTCTCCTTCTTTCTTTCTTTTTGCCTGCTGACTAAATGAACCCTTTAGTCAATAAAGGAAATGTACATAAATAGTGCACAATTTTCACATTCACACAGAATGGGAAACAATCAGAAATGCAAACAGGGATTGGGCATGAGCTGTGCAGGGAGACGATGTTCAGAGGATCCTACCAGTCTTAAACATTGCTTATTCACTAATCCCTATTTCCAGTGAAACCTACTCACACTTTCAGGTGCCTATCATCATCATCATCATCATCAACAACAACAACAACAGCAACCGCAACAAAACACTTTCGGCTGTTTGGTTGAGTTATAACAAATGCATATGTGGGAGAAGAGATATTGTGGCAAAGGCAGCAACCTCTATCCCCAGTCAATGTATCTTCAACATGATATCAGCCCAGAGCTCCTGTGTGAACAGCCATCTCTACAGAGGTTCTAAGCAATATGCAAGTGCTTGGGGTGGGGTCTCTTGCCCCAGTGGCACTCCCACTCCCTTAGCTGTTCGTTCCACCTCTTGGACTCCTGTAAGGAGCTCAGAGATTCAGTGACAAGAATACTGGGGCCCCAAATGGGGCAGTGGTTACTGTACTGCATTAGGAAGGAGATCACCCGAGTTTAAGTAACAATTCAGACAATGATGCTCAGCCAGGTTGCCTTGAGCCAGCCAGTTGGGTTCCATCTGACCTACTAAACAGGAATGCTGAGAGGATGAAGACAGGGACAGAACTGAGTGCCCCATCCTGAGCTCTGTGGGAAACAGGTGGGATCAAAATGTAATACGTAAATTAAAGGTGTGAGGAAGTAGAGGCATCACGCAATGCTGCTGTTCCGCTTGCACCATGGTCCTGATTCTATCAAGAGGCTCTGGCATGCAACACCAGCAGCACAAGTGTGGCAGGTCCCCTGGGGCAGTCCCTTCCGCCAGCTACACTACCAGTGTTGCACTAGAGGCCACTTAAGCTAGTGCTGCGGCAGTGACATAAGGAGAGCATCAGCCCTGGGTGCTGCCCTGGGTGATACACGTGTGCACATGCTGAACAAATAATAAATCTGGAAAGTACACGAGACTGCATAGTTCTGCCTCTCTGACACTGCCATGCTCTCATCTTATTTCAAAATTCCCCCTGTATTGTATTTTAAATCTTTGGACCGCTGCTAGGTTTACTCTCATTTTCACTTTTATATTTCAATTTTATGCTGTGTTTTATACTGTATTTTATGTTCCCAATTGTTGCAAACCTTCCAGAGGGTTTTGGCTATTGGATGGCATTAAAATGCAATAATAAATATGCATAACTAAATAAATAACAATAAAGCTGTTCTTTCAAGCACCATGGTTGCCCCGGACCCTTTAGAAGCGTTTCTTCTGCTAAGCCATGGGAACAGTAAGTTCTACCTCCCGCATGATTGCACAATCACTGACAAATATCACAAGACTTCTTCTGTGAAGGTCCAGACACATTGCAAAGGGGATTTGGAGCTTTTGAAGGTATATGTATTTGCAGCTATGTCTTCACCTTTGCACAGTCGGGTGGCTTCAACGCTAATGAGCAAGAGACTCATCCTTCACTGTCCCTGTGATATTCCTCACACAGCTTGGCTCAAGAGGAACTGGGAACATGGAGAGTGAAAACAACCTGCCTCAAATGGCTCATTTTGAGCTTTCGTTCTGAACGTGGAGCAGTGATGGAGAACACATTTGAGAAAGTCTGTGTACTATTAGACTCTGATCAGTAACTTGATTTATGAGTCTTCCTCACTGGGAATATGCTAAAGTCAATGGAACTCTCTCCAACGATGCTTCTTGCATTGCAATGCAGAGAGTGTGACTGTGAAACTCGGCTAAAGCAATGCAGGACAATTTGGGGTCCGCACTTCACAAGGTTTTTTCCTATGAATGCAGGATTTCATGCGGGTTTCTGGAAAGTGCATCTACACTGGTCTGGGCACGGATGTGTACTTTCCATGCAGCTACAAATGTTCCTCCTCTGTAGCACATCTTTCTATTACTGCAGAACGTCTGTTGGAAAAGACAAAATAGTAGCACAATGCCTTCTCTTTGTTAGCACTCAGCCTCTCTGACTGGAAGCACCCTTTAGTTTGGGTATTGCCAAAGTTCCTGAACTGCTAAAAAGACTGAGCAAGTTCAAACCTGAAAAAGAATACTGCACTGAATTTGAGGAATTTGACCCACCATAAGTATTTTGCTCAAAACTGAGGGTGTTTCAGGAAGGAGGGTTCCCAGTGAAAAGACTTTGCAGTTATGCTGCCTTACCATGGAAAGCAAAAATATGGAAGAAGCGATGGAGAAATATGGGAGAGGTTCCAGTGGAAGAGATTATCTGGATTGTCATGGATTATCTCCCATAACATTCCATGAATGTGGTAGGGCGATTGCACAATAAGAGCCTCATCCAGAAAGTGCCCTGAATAGGTTAACTGGAGCTGTTTCTAAAGGCTTCTGTTTCTCTTCATCCTGTTTGGCTCTCGAAACGGAATATTATCTCTTCCATATTAAATGTCCTAACTGCACAGATTTTGAATGTGTTGCATGTCCAGCTTGCTTATCAGTACATAATAAAGCAGAACTAGATATATGTAGTGTTCATAGGAGCAAGTTCAGGGCAAGTCTCCTACTGATTTCAGATGCTGCTTTCTTGACGGATACTTTAGTCAGGTTTGAATTTCTCATGTTTTTAATTCCAATTTAAAGTGCATAGAATGACCATTTTGCTTGATTTTTTTAAAACAGCTCTCTCCCACTTTCTGTTCTGAATTAGCAAAGTAACATGTTTTCCATTCCATACTCAAGGAAAGTTTTTGCATGACTTATGAAAACTCTTACTTCCAAATATCATTTCGGATCATATCTTTTGGTATGATCTAAATTCTAAATTGTTACATACTGATGGAACTATTTAGAAAAATACCCCATAACTTACCCCAAGTCCTGAAAGGATCAAGGTAAAAATCAAAATATATAGATACATTGATTTCTATACCCCATGCAAAATCCTTTCAATAGAATGCATTTAGTTCTGAATCATAAACCTATTTATTTTGAATAAATTCCCATTCATTTTCAACTATGTGCAGTTAGTACTGCAATGAATTTGTAAGAATATCAGGAAACACCAGAACATCCCTTCTAGCTTTGTACAACTAGAGAAAAGCACAGTTCTAAGATTTCAGTGCCAATGCAGGGAGATCTGTTGTTTTCAAAATTGCTCAAAAGCATTTTATCCTTTTTAAACACAAGATAAGAATGATGTCGAATCTTGTTCCATAATCTTCCATAATCAATGATTTGGGCAATTATCTCTAGACTGTGGCAGCTACTGAACTCCATTAGCTTATCATTTCCAATGTGATTTTATAAATGTTGACTTCTTTCATTTTAGATGCATTTTCTGTTCATACCTTGGTTATCGGCAAAACTGCACAACTGCAACAAATGCTGATTTAGGATTTTGTTGGCTGGTTTGTTATTGTGTTGCTGTCAGGGTTTTTTGTTTTGTTTTGTTTTTACTTTGCATGCACACAGTTTAATATTCACCAATACACCTTAAAATCTTCAGAGGGTTTACACGGAAAAATCACACTGTGTAGTTTTTGTTTACAGGATAGTTAGAAATCAGAAATATGGAGCTGTTATAAATCAGAAACAGAGAAATAGATCATATACATTTTCTGCAAAAAACACATTTAAAGTAGCAGATGTTCAGTCTTTGTTCATACCCCTGCACATCACCTTACAAGAGCCGAGGATCTGTCCTATAAAGTTAGTTAGAGGATGCAATATCAGTGAAATGGCTTTGGGAAATAAGCCAAGGCACTTGTTGGTTACCTTGAGTTTCACTTGGCAGTGAAGAGGGGTCCAATTGAAGTAGTAGCACTCAGTGGTGGAGGCACGACTTGCTTCCAGGGAGATCTTCAGGTCTGCCATGGCCTCCCAGGTATAGCAGAATTCTGACTTGTTCAATGAGCACAAGTTCTTCACAAAAGGCACCTCCACATCTGGGAAGCTTCCCATGTTTATTACCAGCAAGGTTTTCTCTTCACTCAGAGTCTGCAGGATGAGGGAGTGAGCTTTCCGTTCCCAGAAGAGCCCGCTGGCTCTCCCTTTCAGGATCCAGTTCTTGTTTGGCTGATCCACCACTTGCCAGTATATAATCCCAATGGTCATCACAAAGAAGACGGCCACCCCAAGGCAGGCAACTGCTCCTTTCCAGGTCTTGTTCATTTCCTTTAGTCCCGAGTCCCATGCCACCTCTGGGATTGGGCTCGAGTTCTTGGGACGATTGTGAGGCATTTTACCATATGCAATTATTTTAAAAAATGAATGATCTAGCAAGGAGTCTCAGGCTGTATGAAAGAACTCGGCTTTTATGAGCTTTGTAAGAAGCTCTGTTCAAATTTGATTCTTTCCCCCCTGCTGTCCATGAACAAGTCTGCACTGTTGCTGCCCAGGGGAGGAGGATGAGGAACAAAAGGAAGGGGGAAAGCAAAACTTTTCAAATCTTTTCCCAGCGCTTCTCACCGCATGATTGAAAGAGAGACTTAAGTCTGGGAAAGTGATTCTAGCCAGTTCTGCACTGGAGAGAGCCGGAAAAATAGAGCTGCCGGTTGGTGGTGTCAGCTCTGTTTGCCTTGCCGGAGTCGTCCTAGGCACTCAAGCCATCACAATCCTTGGGCACCTCAGGCTGTGCCTAATCAGGAGGCCTTGGGTGCCGGGGGATGTGTCAGTCCTATACACAAGAGGCAGCTTACCAAATATAGCAGTGGGTGGCATGTGTCAAGAATGGCTGGTTGAATTCCACACATCTGGGTTGGAATGGAGGCTTTTGAAGCACAAATGACCTCCAAATTGGCACATTTTCTTCAAGACCATTGTTAATGCTCATTAAGGTCTGAGGATGGTTGCCAGTTCAAAATTAAAAACCAGGAGTCTAAAATAAACAGTGTCTCTTTATATTTGCTGAGCAGCCACAGTTATGGAAAGAATTAGGCACCCATCCTTGGTGGTGTGAAGAAGCACAGGGGCCTTGAATGTCAGGTTTCATTAGCAAAAGTTTGATTCTTTGCCCAGAATGCTTCACAGATGTCAGGTAATTGTATTATTTTTGCAACAACGGAAAGCTAAATTATTTGGTCTACTCAGCTGTACTCAGGCTTCACTTAGAGTACATTCTACACATGTGCACATAGGTGCACATACAACTGTTTTTTAACGGGTATGCCGTGCAGTCTGATGAATCTTTCCTCAGAAGTCCTACCATTTTCAGCAGGGTTTGCACGTTGGTAGATCTGTTTTAGAATTGCAGCCAAGCTGAATTTACTTTATCATGAAGAACAGTAAGTCTGCAGGCTTTATTGGTCCTAGGTGTCTCAGTTTTAAAGCTGCTGTTTCATACTTTTTAGGCAGATGCAGAACCCATAAATCTTCAGGCTCTTCTGCAGAAAAAAAGGAAAAAAATGTTTAAAGTATTTCAGTAAAAGATAAATGTCTGATTGATATAAACTAAACAAGTTCAATCAACTTCTAAAGAGACTATGTTATTCTAATCCCTTCATGGATCACTGTCTAGCCGAGCTGAAGGGGTTTGTGTAGTGCAATGAATCTACATTGGGTGCAGGGGCACCCAAGATGGACAGGTCATAGCAGAGAGCTCTGACAAATGCCAACCCACTCCAGTATCCTTGCCATGAAAACCCCATGGACAGTACCAAAAGGCAAAGAGATATGACGCCAGAAGATGAGCCCCTCAGGTCGGAAGGTGTCCAGTGTACTACTGGGGAAGAGCAGAGGGTTAGTACTACTAGTGCCAGAAAGAATGAAGCAACAGGGTCAAAGCCAAAAAGACATTCAGTTGCAGATGTATCTGGTGATGAAAGGAAAGTCTGATGCTATAAAGAACAATACAGCATAGGAACCTGGAATCTATGAATCAAGGTAAGCTGGACGTGGTCAAACATGAGATGACAAGACTGAACATCGACATCTTGGGAATCAGTGAACTAAAATGGACAGGAATGGGTGAATTTAATTCAGATGACCATCAGGTATACCACTGTGGGCAAAAATCCCTCAGAAGAAATGGAGTAGCCTTCATAGTCAATAAAAGAGTAGGAAAAGCAGTACTGGGATACAATCTCCAAAATGACAGAATGATCTCAGTTTAAATCCAAGGCAAACTATTCAATATCACAGTAGTCCAAGTCTATGCCCCAACCACTGATGCTGAAGAGGCTGAAGCTGGTTCTATGAAGACCTACAATACCTTCTAGAAATAACACCAAAAAATGTTTTTAACATCATGGGAGATTGGAATGCTAAAGTAGGAAGTCAAAAGATAACCAGAATAACAGGCAAGCTTGGCCTTGGAGTACAAAATGAAGCAGGGCAAAGGCTGGCAGAATTTTGTCAAAAGAACATGCTGGCCATAGCAAACACTCTTTCCCAACAACCCAAGAGACGACTCTACACATGGACATCACCAGATGATCAACACAGAAATCAGACTGATTATGTGCTCTGCAGCCAAAGATGGAGAAGCTCTATACAGTCAGTAAAAACAAGACCAGGAGCTGACTGTGGCTCAGATCATGAGCTTCTGGTTGCAAAATTTAGGCTTAAATTGAAGAAAGTAGGGAAAAGCATTAGGCCACTCAGGCATGACCTAAATCATATTCCTTATGAACATACAGTGGAGGTGACAAATAGCTTTAATGAATTAGATCTGATAGACAGAGTGCCTGAAGAACTATGGACGGAGGTTCACAACATTGTACAAGAGGTAGCAACTAAAACCATCCTAAAGAAAAAGAAATGCAAGAAAGCAAAATGGCTGTCTGAGGAAGCTTTACAAACAGCTGAGTAAAGAAGGGAGGTGAAAGGCAAGGGAGAAAGAGAAAGATACACCCAAAAATGGCAGGGACCTAATAAAGGCAGAAGAAATTAAGAAGAGGTAGCAAGATTACAAAGAAGAACTATACAAGAAAGATCTTAATGTCCCTGATAGCCACAATGGGGTGGTCACTGACCTCAAGCCAGACATCCTGGAATGTGAAGTCAAATGGGCCTTAGGTAGTCTTACCAACAACAGAGCTAGTGAAGGAGACAGTTTTCCAGCTAAGCTATTCAAAATCCTAAAAGGTGATGCAGTTAAAGTGCTACACTCAATATGCCAGCAGATTTGGAAAATTCAACAGTGGCCACAGGATTGGAAAAGGTCAGTTTACATTCCAATTCCAAAGAAGGGCAATGCCAAAGAATGTTCAAACTACCGCACCATTGCACTCATTTCACATGCTAGCAAAGTTATGTTCAAAATCCTACAAGCTAGGCTCCAGCAGAAGTAGGCTCCTGTACTAGGCTCCTGTACTACCAGAAGAACAGGCAGGGTTTTGAAGAGGCAGAAGAACTAGAGATCAAATTGCCAACATGCGCTGGATCATGGAGAAAGCTAGGGAGTTCCAGAAAAACATCTACTTCTGCTTCATTGATTATGCTAAAACCTTTGATTGTGTGGCTCACAACAAATTGTGGCAAGTTCTTAAAGAGATGGGAGTACCTGACCATCTTATTTGTCTCTTGAGAAACCTATATGTGGGTCAAGAAGCAACAGTGAGAACTGGACATGAAGCTACTGATTGGTTCAAAATTGGGATAGGCTGCATACTGTCGCCCTGCCTATTTAAAATATATTCCGAGCACATCATGAGAAAGGCGGGGCTAGATAAATCACCAGTTGGAATTAAGATTGCTGGGAGAAATATCAACAACCTCAGATATGCAGATGATACCACTCTAACGACAGAAAGTGAAGAGGAGCCGGGGGTCAGACTAGATGGCCCGGGAGACCACTTCTGACTCGCTCAGTTTCTATGTTTCTATGTTGATGTGGGTGAAAGAAGAGAGCGCAAAAATTGGCTTGAAACTAAATATTAAGAAAACTAAGATTGTGGCATCTGGTCCTATCACTTCGTGGCAAATAGATGGGGGAGAAATGGAGGTAGTGACAGATTTTATTTTCTTGGGCTCCAAGATCACCATTAATGGTGACTGCAGCCCAGAAATTAAAAGACACTTGCTCCTTGGAGGAAAGCTATGGCAAAGCTAGACAGCATTCTAAAAATCAGAGACATCACCCTGCCGACAAAAGTTTGTATAGTCAAAGCTATGGTTTTCCCAGTTGCAATGTATGGCTGTGAGAGTTGGACCATAAGGAAGGCTGAGTGCCAAAGACCTGAAGCCTTTGAATTGTGGTGCTGGAGGAGACTCCTGTGAGTCCCTTGCACTGCAAGGAGATCAACCTATTCAGTCTTTGAGGAGAACAACCCTGACTGCTCTATAGAAGGCCAGATACTGGAGATGAAACTCAAATACTTTGGCCACCTAATGAGAAGGAACAACTCATTGAAGATACTGGGAACGATTGATGGCAAAAGAAGGAGGGGACGGCAGAGGATGAGGTGGTGTCACTGGGACAGTGGTGTGAGCTTGGGTGGACTCTGAGGGATGGTGGAGGACAGGAGATCCTGGAGGAATGTTGTCCATGGGGTCATGATGGGTGGAGCATGACTTTGCGACTAAACAAACAAAGAGAACAAAATGTTATTCTATATAATCAAGAATGGGATTCATGAACTTCTCAAATGTTGCTCTTCCAGCTATAGCTGCTACAAGAAAGCTTGGAGGTCAAAAATGGTTTGGGGAGGGCAAAGAAGACTGTGCTAACATGTCATATACTTTCAAGTAGTAGTAGTGGCAGCAGCAGTAGTACTAAAATCTAAAACTGACATCAGAAGATCTCAGGACAGGATATAATCAATGAGAACAATTTAACATAAAATCATAAAACCATCACCACCACAAAACCCATAATCCACTACAAAATCATCCATGGGAATTAAAACTAAACTACGGTGAGAGAGAGACAAAGGTTTGGCTGGGAGACATGTCTGCCTTGGTCTGTAAGGAAGCCAGCATGGGCTCCATCTTGGCCTCCAAGGCATTACAAAGCAGTGGTGCAGCTATGGCTGGACCTTGTGGTCAAAGCTCAGGATGCTGCCACGGAGGGGAGTGGGCGGAAATCTCTGCCCAGAGCGTGAACATTGGCACAGGGCCCTGGAAGGAACCCTCGGGCTGTCCTGGCTGTTCTGATGTCCGATGGAGCTCAGACCACAGCTCTCTTTTTCTTATCTTATGAACTGCTCATAATCATGAGCTAGGCAGGTAAGTAAATGGCTACATGTGTATTCTATTGTATTCTCTTGAAATATATTTCCAAGAACTAAGCAGGGCTGTCAAGGGCAGGACTTCTTGGGGGCATTCATTCATGGGGTTGCCATAAATCAGAGTCAGCTTGATAGCATGCAGCAACCACCACCTTAAAAATAAATGATCCGTTCCTGTAGCAAAATGTTGGTTATTCCCAAGCAAGCATATTTAGCATCTGAGCAGCAGAAGCAAATTCTGTTCATTCCTCTACAATTTGGGTGAGTTTTGTATATGAAACAGCACGTGCTCAGGGCATTTATCCCCTTCCCCCTTTTTAAAATCAGGATTGGCAAACAGTTTTAGAGGGGCTTGCTCTGGAAAGTACAACCAGGTGTAAAGTGTGGAATGGCAGTGGTGGGGTGGAGTAGGAGAAGAGAAATATTAGTTGTGTGCTTACCAATTGAAGAGATACATAACTAAAATTCTTCCCCTTCCACCCCTAAGATAGGTTTTTAATTATCCAGTTGCACCATTGTTCCAGCTTTTAACACAAGCTTAAAAGTGACTGATTGGCTTCCAATGAGAGTGAAATGATGAGCTGGATGACAAAAAAGGTCAGAACAGTTGAAAACTAGCCAGAGAGCAAGATTAACTACACATCGCTCACCAGAAACAGCAGGAAGTTCTGGAACAAGGATTTGGTATCCTTTCCTGCACTCCCTGGGTTCCTGCTGCAGAGGAAACAGCATGTGATTAGCGTGTTATCATGGTATGATGCCAAGAATGCCAATACGTGTAAATAAGGATTAAGGAAATAAGACAAAGCATCCTCATAACAGAAGTGAAGCCAACAGAAAAAATAAAAAAAGGGCGGTGGACACCGGGCTTAATCCCAAATCAACCAGAAATCTTATTTACCTTAGCTGGCTTTGGCCCATTGCCTTACCTCTTTATAAGCTTAAACTATACCAGAATTTATCAACAGTATGCCCTCAAAATGTTTAAATCCCATAATCCCCAGCCAGTGTGGCCATTTCTCAGGTAATTTAAAAGCCCAGATGTTCTACTACAGCACTGACCAGATATGCAGACTTGATATTCTGGGGCAGCTTGATGTCTCTGTGCTTGGCAATATTGCAGAAAGAGGGTACTGTGGTTCAGTTCCATACATACCCCACACCCTCCAAGGTTGTAAATTATTTGCAGAAGTAGTTGTTGAACTGTCAATCCTGAGCAAAGGGCCAGAGATAGTGTCCAAAGACAGAAGAAATATGTGCTTCCGGTCTACATCCATTTTGCAAATGAATACAGTATAGAGATTAGTCACCGTTCTTAGATATCTTGCATGCCTGGGGAGGTTATTAATGTTCTGACAGGGTGGTATACTCCAGTCTAGATCTGGGTAAGTGGAAAAGATGAATAGCTCCCTGCCCCTCCTGCCCCACCCAGCTTTCTGATCCTAATTAAAATTCATACCTTAGTTCCTGGATAAATACACAGCAATTACTTCACTGGGATAAATGGTTCCATGACAGCAACAATTCTAAAAATAAGAGACATTGCTCCTCAAGAAAGAGGAATATCTGGCAAACCTGCAGATATAGAGGAATTGAGTTATTTAAAACAAAAACCTAAAGAGTCATGTTCATGATTTATAGGAATATGAACTTTTACATGAGGCTGTTTATTGATTGTTAACTAATTGGATCTACTTTTCGCTTCACTGCAGAATTGAGATGTGAGCACTACATGAGCATTTTTTCCTGGTTCTCCACAACTTAACCTCTGGGTGGCACTGTGGAATTGTGGACTAGCACAAGTACACGAGAGTGGAAAACCCATTTTCTTTCACTTTCCTAAATAAATATCATGTTTTCCCTGTTCTAATAAAAACTCATCAAAAGTGCTGCTTAGAAATAGGAACAAAGCTGGAGGGTGATGACATTGGCTGAAGAATCTGTAAACAACCTTGAACAGGGAATGACGAGTGCATGATAAATTTCTCCAGTAGAAAATCACTATGTCTTAAAAAGCCTCCTTCCTTCCTCTCAAGGGAGAATTCTCACCAAGATTACAGTGCTGAAGATGGACCAGCAAAATCAATCTTTACCCTTAACTAGTGGATTTCCTGACTTATGACCCTAACTTAGCTGCGCCGATTTCATCTCGCTCCTGCAAAAGCAAGCTTTTCCAACCTGGTGCTTTCCAGATGTTTTGAACCACAGCTCTTAGAATTCCTGACCCCTTGGGCCATGCTGGCTGGAGAAGATGGGAGCTGAAGCCTAAAATGGGAGAGGCACCCAGAATGGAAAGAATATTGCAAAACCTGTCTCTTGGTACGAGTTTATTGGCACGGGCATTATAATCAAGCCTCTTCGGCCCTGTATATCTGGTCCAGATTTGCACATCTGGATGGGAATGCTTGGAGTACAGTTGTGAATGCAACTGTGCTTCAGTTTTTTAAAGTGCCCCTGAATACCTGCATCCATTTTAATAATGGCCTTCACAAAGCAGACATGATGGAAAGGGTCATATAGTCATCATGGCTAATGGTTGCTGACAGGCCAATTTTGCCATGTAGCATCAGCACACTTTATGGGAATCTTCAATTCTGTCTGTCTGTCTGTCTATCGAACACATTTTTATCTCATCCAAGGAGCACTCAATGTAGCATACACAAAGTTGTGATCTCCCCTTTTTATCCTTAAACATAAAGATAAGTAGTTTACAAATCAAGATGAGCAAGACTGACTATCCCTCTATCACCCACTGGTGGTCATGGCTGAGTGGGGATAAATGTGCATCACTGTGGTCTTAGTCCAGTTTTCTAACCACTAAAGCACAGTGTTACTTTCTTGTGCAGCTACTGCTACAGATTCCTTGCATGACCCTGAGTTAGTACAGTATTATGATTGTGGTAGGGAATCTTTTTCCAACCTTAGTTTCACATACTGTTTATATTTTATGACTTACATTATATCTAGACAATCGAGGAGACAGCAAAAAGTAATATTAAACTTTTTTTCTGATGACAAAGATAAATACAATTTCTCTGAGCCGTTTTTGCATCCAAAAATATTAAATATTAGGATACAGGATCTGTATGCCCCCCCCCCCACACACACACATTTCTACACAGGTCATGGGTGGGCAACCCAAACCTTGTCCTCTTCTCAAAAGCCCTCTGCAAACAGCCAGTTTCAGTCTCTGGCAAGATCACTCCCTCCCTGGCACCCCACTGGGTAGGCAGGGGAAAGGGGTGAAGAGAAACATGTGCCAGGAAGAAAGAAGGAGGGAGGGGTGCCCCATTTTTGTCTCTGGCCCCACCCCTCTTGGGTTTGCCCTGCCCAGGCACTTCTACAGGAGGCTGAGGGAAAGTGAGCCTCAAAAGGGCTGAAGGGAGGGAAAGGGTGGCCCCTAGGAGGAGCCCTCATAGGCCAGTCTTTGCTTTTGCCACTACTGGGAGAGAGGGCAGCCCTCCTTCCTTCCCTTCTCCTTGCTGATGGGCACTCACCTCGTGTCTTTGCCATGGCAGCAATTTGCAGGCTATTGCACGGCTGCAAGCCAGCATTCCCATCCCTCCCTCCCTCCCTCCCCTCAGCTACGTTAAGCACACCATCCATGCAGCACACCCAGGCTGAGCACAGAGAAGCAGAGCGGGCAGAGAGTGCAGAGGAGAGCCCAGCATCTCTTTGCATTGTCCTACTTGCCCCTTGGTCCCTCTCAAGCTGGGATGGGGCCCTTCCAGACCACATGCCTGAAGCTGCCCGCAAGGCTCCCCATTCCGGCCTGTCCCACACTCCTCCCTGGCTATGATCTGCATCCCAGCATGACATGCTGGACGGTAAGGCTGCAGCCCCCAAACTCAGTGCACCCCATGGTGATGCAGCAGCCACCCAGCCACTCTTGGCTGCTCTGCATGCACCAGCTGAGATGGGGATGCAGAGGAGGGCCTGGGAAGGCTGCGTGCATCCATGTGTGTGTGTGGATGGTGTGTGCGCGGACAGGGCAAATGCAATGTGCTTATGGTTGTGAACGGTGTGTGTGAAACAGAGAAAACGTGGCCCCCAAGATGTTTCATGGGAGGCAAGTTGGTGCTAGGCCTGAAAGGGTCTCTTGCTCCTGCTTCAGTTCATGGTCAAGTGCTTATTGGACTCTTGTCGTTAAGTATATATTAAGCTCCTGCTGTCTGCAAGCTCAAGTGGTGTTGCAAATGGACCCCCGTGCATTGAAGTGTGCTGGGAATGACAGGCGACGGAGTCCTTTCCTAGACACCATGAGCCCATGAGGCTGCCCCCTCGCCTGGCAACATCCAGGTGAGCCTCGCACACATGACATGACATCATCATGGGTACGCTGCCTGGCCTTTGTTGTACTTGGCTGGCCATTGGCCACTGGGGCTGGCCAGTGCCAGCTCAGTGATGTCGGAGCAGGTTCCCCTGACCGCCGCACAGAGGAACAGACACGGGACAGTGGCAGCTCCGTGTTCACTTCAAGCTCAGTGACACCCTCGGCGTTCTGCCCAAATGCAAGCACTTACACTGTCTCAGGCAACAGGGACTCCACAGCGCACAGGCATGCATGCATACGAACATACAAACCCGTCAGCTATCAGGATCTAAACTAGAAAACCTTTGAACTTTACTAGGCTGCTTCAGGTGAAGTATTCTAGATTATTTTGGTTCTGAATCTGGCATTAAAAGAGTGTTGGCTTTGACAATGATTTTTGAGTTCAGCAGTAACACAAATATTACAGAAATTACAGTCCAGCCTACCGTGAAGGAACCAAGACTCCTCCTCTGAAGGATGCTCCAAGTATCGGCAACAAAAATGAGCAGCCTATATGCTGTAGTTTGAAAGAGTACAGAAAAGCTCAAGCTGTGAGACTGAGTACAGGGTTAGCATGCTGAGCATTTCAGCTTTTATTGCTAAAAAGAGGAACTATTCTGAAATCAGAATATGCCTGGTGGCAGGTGGAGGGCAAGGGCTAAAAATCTTTCCAAGGTAGCCAGGGATAAAGCTTCAGTACTCCACAGAGCTCCTTCCTCAAAATTAGTGGCAGCAGAAGAAATGTTGTACAGCTGTAGCAACTGCAGGATCGATTAGGCAAATGAAGAGAAATTGTGCAAAATGTGCAAACTTTGTATGTTTTGCAAAGGCAGCTTTTCTTGGCAATGATTCTGCATCTAAAATATGGTTCCCTCCCACTATTTCTCTGGTGTTTATTATTTTTTTCAGTGATATTTATGATGGGGACAAGCTGTAGCTCGGTGGGAGCACATGCCTCAAAGGAGCTGAGATCAGTCCTTGGATCTCTCCAGATTTAAAACTGAGGCAGAAGGGAGTAGAAGTCTCAGCCTGCAACCCTGGAGAGCATCAGAGGACAGTCTTCCCCAGCTTCATGCCCTCCAGGTGTGTTGGACTACAACTTCCAACACCCCCCCCCTCCCGCCAGCCAGCTGGAAATAGTAATCGAACAGAACTGGAGAGCCACCAGACTGGGAAAACTAGAGCAGACTAGGCAGACTAGGCAGACTAGAGCAGACACATTTTCATATAAGGCAGCAGTGTCCTACATTCCTATTGGTTATTTTTCAAATTGTAAGTTACTTTGAAAGTCTTTTTTGAAAGAGACTGTCCATAATTTTTGATCAACATCACCACCACCACCACCATTTTTAACTTGGAACAGTGTAGCCCCAAGGAGACCTGGTTGCCTGTCCAGAACTCTCCTGGCAAGTATGTTGCAGGGAGTGCGTAGGGAGTATGTTGCAGGGAGCACATCCAAACAAATCTATACACACAAATTGAAATGGCTAGGAAAAGCAAATGATTCTTCCTTTGCCTTCCATGCCACTTCAACAGGCAGCCCATTCTTATTTCCAGGTAAGTCCAATGTCAGCTTCATGGATGTCCGTGGGACAACTCTTACCTTGCCATAGGTGCCCACGGTGGCTGGTGATTCCAACCTAGGAGCCGCACAAAAAGACAAAGTGGCCTTCTCGACAGATCCACAGACAGACTGGTCCTGTGTAATCCAAGGCTGTTTAAATCCTGCTAGCAAAATCTTGGAGAGGCTGTTGCAGCAAAACAGGAAGCTTAGTGCTGTTCTCAGAGCAAAATGTGTCAACATTAGTTGTGGGTGGATAGATATACCTTCGAATAATCATGCTCTTGGCTTCAAAAACTCACCAGAGGCTTTCCAAGTGCCTGCAGTGACATCCTAAAGGTAGCCGTGATATAGACCGTGGGAGTCTGGTCCAGAGATGCTGGAGCGGCAGATACAAGCCCCTTGCTTTCTGGACAGTGATAAAACCCAGGCCTCCAGGCAGGCTAGATTGGCTGGGTCTCTTATGTTATGTCTTTCAGCAAACTGTTTAGAAATATCACTCAGCAGATAGGCCGGCTGTAAAAAAGGCAAGATCTTACCCATTGCTGCTACAGCAGCTGCCCTGTAGTGAAAGGTAAGTGAACACATCTTATTATTCTGTGGAAATTTCCAAGTGCATTGCGTTGACATATAACTTTGTGTATACATGCACATACTTTGGCAGATTTCCACAGTGTGAAATATATAAGTGATTCTTTAAGGGAACAGGCCGGGTTTTGCATGGTGTTGGACTTTTTATGTCTTTTTCCTCCTAGTGGAAAGTGTATAATGTGCATTAGCAGAGCCAGAGTTTAACTGAAGAGCTACTTTAGAGGGATAGAATAATTTATCTAAATACTTGCAGCTTGTGCCATTTTGAATATATAAACCCACTAAAAGCAAAATACTGCAGGTTTGTACTTGGAACCAGTTTGGGGCAAGTAATTCACTTCATTGTTCCCAATATACACCTTCTCTTGGATTTCCTAATCACTCATTTATTTGTTACTTGTACATCTCATTTTTCTCCAAGGCAGCCATGGTCTTCCTCCTTTCCATTTTAACATCACAACAGCCCTGTGAGGTGGGTTAGGCTGAAACTCAATGAGTGGCCCAAAACCACACAGTGAACTTCATGAATGAGTAGGGTTTGAACCCAGGTCTTCCCTAATCCAACACTTCAATCACTACACCAGTCTGGTTCTTGTCAAGGACAAAATGTTACTTCTGCTTGTTGGAAATGGTGTGTGTACATATCCATGCCAAGGTGTGTGACCTTCAAATTCACCTTATGGTCCATTCAGATGGATATCTAAAGCTACCTCTCAAAAGGAATCTTGCAGCTAGCCCATCTTTCTTTCTTTCTTTACGACGGGATGACAAAAGATGCAAGCAGTACTGAAGAAACATGGAGGCTTGCAAATGGAAGACACCACTGTCTGGACTTCTTGTCCAATTTCATGAAGGAGACAGGGCCATCATAAAGCCGTTCCTGGAAGCACGCAGAAATTGAACCTTCCCACCAAGAGCTGCCATCTGCTCTTGCCAACACCTGTTCTTGTCACTGTCCTGTGGCTACAGGATTTGAGGGCAGTCACTGAGATGCTCATCTCCACTTCCAGAAAGCTTTATATTTTTCAGGATCCCCACAGCTGACTGCCTCAGGCCAGAAGAATCCCATATTCTTCAAAAGCAGTATGACGGTAGTAGCAGCAGCACAGGCTGTTTCACAAGGAACCAGACATAAACATTCACAGGGAGGGGGAAAGGATCATTCAAAGGCACAGAAGTGCATATCAGGTTTCACTCACAGTTTAAAGGGGAGGGAAGGCCTGCTGTCTACCCCACAGGGAGGCTGACTGAGGCCAGATGTACATCCGTAGGCCAGTAAACCCTGCCTTGTAAACCTTCCACCCTTTACTACTTTCTTCCTTGCTTTTCCTTTTTCCACTGAGCAGACTTAATGCAATTGCATCATCCCTAAGTCCCAGAGGTGCTCCGAGATGCTGCTGCTCCAAAATGGATTGAATAGACCCTCCAAGGAAAGCTGGCCAGGATTCTGACTGGCAGCCCTGCCATGAACCAAATGACTGCTCATTCAGGAGTTTAGATTCTGCCACTGCAATCCTGCCTGCTGACCAACTGACCGCCGAAATCTCATTAAAGTCATTTGGAGGTAAGCAGCCCAGGCACAGCCTGTGGCCATCACAGTCATCTGCATTTCATACAACCTGCGCAAAGCAAGAAGATGTATTGTCACTAACCCACATGGTGATGGCTGCATTTCATATTAAATTCTGGACAAATGTGCATATAAGTTCAGTTTAATTTCCAGCAGGTGCTCTTCTGCTTATATGCCAAGGTGTGTGTGAGTGTGCGCGAGAGAGAGAGAGAGAGAGAGAGAGAGAGAGAGAGAGAGAGAGAGAGAATTGGGATTAGTGATTGTGATTTATCAGTTTAGGGAAAGGATACGGATACTTGAGAACAAAAGAGTCTTTAACAAATTCAAACATCTGAAAATTAGGAGCTCCATGCTAGATTAAACTCTAAAACAACACTGTGTAAGGAATACCTCCTTGTCTTAACTGAATTGTTAACATAAAAGTAGTTACTGAATTGTTAAATGAGATTTTCTACCATGTTGGAGGTCATTTGGATCTGTATCTTGGGTGTGCATACCTGTACATACCTGTACCTTGGGTGTGCAGGCTTTATTTTCTCCTCGTCTTGTTAGGTATGATCTAATAGACCCTGTCCCCTCAGGCAGTAAAAACACTGAAAATAATGTTCATGATCATTATATGCCTTTGATACATCACCAAACAAGTAATCCTTATTGTAAGAAAATATGTGGAATATATAAATACACTACTATGGAACACACACACACACACACACACACACACACACAGAGAGAGAGAGAGAGGGAGAGGGAGAGGGAGAGAGAGAGAGTTAATTTATATACTACTTATATCAAAATAGATCTTTAAAATAGGCGTGCGCACACACGCACATCGATCACTTTAGTTATGACTAGGATTATTTGGTGCCCCATCTCCAAAGCCGTGAAAGCTCAGAGATGGGATGCTAAACATGGAGCCCCTGCCCCACTGACTGCTTCACCACCAGCCCAGCAGCATGGAGGGAACTGTGCTGGCTCCTTCTCCAAGGTCAGAAACCATTCTTGGAGCCAAGGGAAGCGGGTGGAGGGGAGGGCTGGCAGCATACCAGAGATCCCAGCCTCCTCCCCTTGCTCTGTCATCTGGATGCCTGAAAAGAGCCTCACAAAGGAAGTGCAGGCCTCGAAGTGCAAGGCGCAGAAATCACCTCTGCCACGGCCCACACCAGTGGATGTATGCAAGCCTCCAAGTTCAGAGACGTACGTGCATCCACAGCAGAGGACATGGGATCATGCCTTAAATGTACCGGAGCTGCAGTCAACTTCCCCTGAAAGCAGTTGGTGCACTGGTGCAAATGTAAAATTTGTATTAGGAAGAAGGTAAGGGTGCAGTTCTGTAGGGGTGCTTGTAGCCCCGCAAACTCAGAGGCATCCAAACTAACAGGCATCCAATGCAGAGCTGAGGCAATCTTCACTTTTGGGCCCCGCCTGCTCTGGATTTTCACTAGGCAGTCATTGTTGGCTACCTAGCAATGGCATTTCATGAGGGGGGAAAGGAGACTGGACTGGCTTCAGTCTACATTGTATCCTGGCTCCTAAATAATGTCTAGGGGCCATAGGATCTTTCTAGGTATCTTTGACATTTCTTGATACTAACTTTGCCTGATGTGATTGTGAGCAAGTACACAAGGCAAGGTTAACATGTGGAAATGTTAAAGGCACTTCTTGGCAGGTTATGTGGAACTATTTAAATGGATTTTTTCTTTATTCCCCCAAACTTTTGTGCTTTCTATCCTAGCTGAGTAAAGATTTGCCAGGAGCAACACAGAATGGCCATGTTTGCACAACACACCTGTACATGTGGCCTGATCGCTCCCACTGCTACAGGACGCAGCTAAACAAACCACAGACTATCTGTGGCTGGTTTATTGTGCAGTGAGAAGCAGGAACTCTGGTCAGGCCCTCCGCAAATGGCCTATTCTCGCTTATGACTCTGGCTTGCCTGGGAAGAGAAAAGCCAGAATTCTTGGTTTGCACGTCACAATAAGCGTATGACGGATGGAAGGTCCAGAGTTGGTCCAGCCACTCCCACTTGCAGGAGGGCCAAGCAGCGGGAGCCATTGGACAGCAGACTGGTTTGTTCATGATTCTCATGCCATGGGAAAGTAGACAGCGTGTGCTGGTGAGAAAGCATTTTTTGGCTCCTGGAGAGGCAAGTCATTCTCCTGGGGCTTTGTTTCCCATCTGCAGAATGTCAGCTTCTTATCTCAAAGAGACCTGGAGGGAATTCAGCAAGGAGGCTGTGGGGAGAGCTGAAGTGCTGAGCTGAGAGGGATGATTAAAAGGCCCGTGTATAGTCTGGCTAGAAGGCAGAGAGAACAGCATTGGACACGTGTGCAAAGCACACATAAATACCAAGAAAGAAAAGGAATCACTCCTTTGGGAATGTCATGAGAAGTCATCAAGTGGCATTAAGGAACAGGGAAGGTGGAGCAGGATGTCAGGAAACTGCAATGCTTAGGATACACTCGAACAGGAATTCTGCTTTCATGGGACAGAAATACAGTGACAAATCAACCTGGAAAAGATTTTTCTGCCATGCGAGACTTCTGCCACTTGAAGAATTTGGCTCTCTATTTACCGAAAGAGTGACGACCAAAATAGGTTTTGGAGAAGGCCTGAAATTTGCCCACTTTGAAATACAAAGAAAACATGTACACGCCCTGATGGGCAATCCAGTAGCTAGCAACAGAAGATGAAGCAACAGCCAATCATACAACAGTGACTGAGAACCAGCCAATGAAAGAAATAGATCCACCCAACTGGAAGATGAAGAGAATACCCTCAAAACCTTGACTTAAGAACCCTCAAGAGCAAGAGAGTACAACCGTAGAATGGCTTATTAAGAGCATTACTACAAATCACAGTATGTGACATCTCCGGTAGTAGAGCTAAACAGTGAGGAGGAGGAGAATAACAATAGAGGAGGTATATGTGTCTGTCTGACTGCACTACATCTCCGTAACTACTAAATCTAGACATCTGAAAATTGGCAAACATGATAAAGGGATACTCCAAGTGTACACCTCATGGTGACTTCATTTGTAGAATGTATAACTTTTAATTAATTCACATATTTCCATCCCTAGCATCTTCAGTCATTGAATGATAGACTTCCCATGGTGAACTCTTTACATGCAT